ACGGGCGGCTCTGCGAGTTCGTGATGAAATCGAACTCGACTCCATGGTTTGGGTGGATTTAATAACTCGGATGAACCCTTATTGCCATGAGCGTTTTTGGGTCGATAGAGCTTAAATCCCCCAGGGCTAAGACGCATATAGAACAAATAAGTTTATTTAGAAAAATCGAAGGAAGTCGACTGTGAGGAAAGAAAATAAGCCACCGGACAGATTTTAGGACTGCCGTGACACGGCAAAAATTCCCGTGTCACGGTACTGTGCACCGTCAAACGGTGCACTGTACCGTGACACGGCAGACTCTGCCGTGGCACGGCAGTCAGAAGATCTAACTGGTGCCCTGTTTTCCTTCGCGCGCAACCAAGCTATCCAATTTTTCCTACGGGACAGACCTGAATGCGACGTTAAAACGTCTATGCAGATGCAAAAATGCCAAATTAATCACAGGAATATTTTTTCAAGAATCTTTCAAGTCTCATCCACTCATCTTAATTAAATACCGATCACTCAAATCGATAAATAATTTAGAATCCCCCCAGTGGAGTCGCCAAATTGTAGGCGTCGTTTGAAGTGCGCCTACGTGAAAAAGCATGTGGTGAATATGCTTGGCACTCATAGGAAGTGGGAATTGACATAATACGATTAGGGACAAGGAAAGTAGGGAGCCGCCAACAAGTTTTTAAGGAACTTGTAAACCGTTCACGGATCATAAAAAGGCAACCACGAATAAGGGACAACGAAGGCAATAACGATTGACCCGTGAAGGTTACACCCCATTCATAATCCATGAGATTACTAACTCCATATGGTTCGGAACCACGAAAGGAGGATCGGGGATGATGGTACGAAGTGAGTCATGGAGTCACATTCGCCCCTAATTGGCCTCTACTCGATTCTTATAGTGAAAAACATTCCTGCGATCTCAAAGGCATACAAACAAAGATTCAATTTGCTCCAAACTATTATTAAGCTAAATTGGTTGAATATTAATGCAACATATAATTCTAAAATATTTGTGATCACTTGAATTAATTAACAAGATTAAAAAGGAAACTAAACCGGTTGTCCAAATTATCTTATTAGGCGTGATTTTCAATTACATATTCCCTTTAACATGCAATATGGTGATCAATAAATATAATAGAACAACATTAATATTAAAACCAAATTAATCACAATTCCAACAACATAAAATCGTTAGAATAATAATGAAAATAAAAGAAGCATGATCCTTACTTCGATTCTGTTTGTTTGCAACAACAAAATAATAAACGAGTTAGTAACTTCAAGGAAATAAATAAAGCAATAACCAAATTAAATATAATAAAATAAAGTTAATTTTGAGGCCAAACCCTCAAACAGTTCTACCTTTCACGCCTTGGTTTAAGGACAGAACCTCGAGTAAAATATGGACTCCTTTGAGTGCTTGAAGAAGGAATTTTGAAGTGAAAAGGGTAGGCTAGTGTTTAGGCTAAAGCATATAAGAGAGAAAATAAAATAATAGAATTACTCGGTGCCCCGTTCATCATAAATGAGGGGGTATTTATAGGAAAAATGTGCTGAGGGAGCACACGGAACCCTAAAATGATAATTTCAGAAATGAGGGGGTATTTATAGGGAAAATGTGCAGACTGCCACCGTGTCACGGGAAATTCCAGTCCATTTTCCGTCTAAATTCATTTTTAACCCTAATTTCTTTCGGCTTTTTAAGTGCCGATTGATAATTTCTGGCTTTTTTCTGACTTTTATTATTCGGGCTAAAATAAGAAAATAATTAAATAAAAATAAATAAAAGGTTTGGGCCAATAATAAAACAATAAAATAAAAAGGTTTGGGCTAGAATTAATTAATAAGTTTGGGCTGAAATTAAAACTATGCTTTTACCAAACATCAAGACTAATCCATGGATTGTTCAAAAATACGATTTTTTAAGCACTCTCGGGATTAAATACTAAACCCGACAAATAGTGGCGGTGAAAGATTATTCATCATCGGGTTTGGTTTTGGGGAGACATTTTTAGGTGTCCACAGGTACCATAGACCTACCCGCCTCAGCCGCATTGGCCACCCTTTGGGAGTGTTGGGCCATCTTATGGACAATATTGAGCTTATCACTCCTAGGTATCATGTATGACCCTAACAATTCTAGTTCATCCCTCCTAACATTGGCGGGTTCATGCCTCCCAAAGATGGTAAGGCCAACAAATCGTTGCGAAAACTTTGGCATGGGATGTTGTATCCAAGTGCCCTTGGTATGCTGGAGGTTTAAGTTGGCTTCCACTTTAAGGGATTGATAGACAACGACAATGTTGTCTTGAGGAGGTTCGATTGGTCTATCCGATTTTAACTCAAATAATTTGCCAAATTCTTTCAAAGACAATCTAACATCACTATTAAGCAATCTAAATTGAACATGAGTAATCAAAGCATTAGATTTTATGACATTAAAACTAGAAATAAATTCCAAGGTCAAATAATCATAAGTATCATAATTCAAGTTAAACAAACCACTCATGCCAATTCCTTTAAACAATTTTTCTACGGGTTTATCAATTCCTAATCTAGCAAGGGTGGGGTGATGAACAAAGCGTGTAGGAATTACCTGCCTTGACGTGAGATTGATCATCCTTTGCCTTTGCTCTTGAGTGGTGATGACCACCCTCTCCCATCCCGGAACTTGCAACTCCGGGTCAATCCTAGGCGCTTGTTGCCTTGAGCTTTCCCCCCTTATGGTCCTAGATCTTTTGAGAGCCAATTTTTATGAGAGATGGTAGGATTAAGAATATGTAAAAAAATATTTGAGTTTTGATGGAAGAATTGGAGGAGATCTTGAAAATAAGGGAGTTTGTAGGTGTAAAAATGGAGGTTTTAGAGAGAGAAAGTAGTAATGATGAAGATGGAAGAAGAAGAAAGTGAGGAAAGAAAGAAGGGTAAGGAATAAAAGTGACGGCCAAAAATAGGCACGCCCGATCGGGCGAAAATATTGAATTCTAGATGTCTGGTTGCGCGCCCGATTGGGCGAGCTTCGCCCGATCGGGCGGGAATACGAAGTAAGATTTCGCCTTTTTACTCGCGTGGTCGGGCGAGCTTCGCCTGAAATATCTTTTCCTTCACTCGATTTTCCACAAAAATGCGCCCGATCGGGCAAGCTTCGCCCGATCGGGCGAATTAAGCTCCAAATCCAACTCCAGTTGCGCGCCCGATCGGGCAAGCCTCGCCCGATCGGGTGAATTAAGAGCTGATTCCAACTCCAGTTGCGCCTGATCGGGCGAATGAAACGGCGCCAAATTTTGACAGGGTAAAGTCGTATCCCCTAATTAAAAGTAAATACCTAAGTCCTCTAACTAGAGTAGATAGGGAAGTAGGGTCGAACTCCACAGGGAAACAAGTCTTTTTACTCCTCATTAATTATAATAATCTAAATTATCTAAGTAACCAATATTTTTGGGAATAACTTCTATACCACGAAGAATAAGTTTAGGGAGAAAAACAATAATAAGAAGGCCTAGGGTCATAGGTTCACCAATAATTAATATTCCGGGATAAAACATAATAATTAATAATTAACATTGCACAAATAACATGATTAACAGGCTCTCGCAATTTATTAATCAACATAGATATAACAGGCTCTCGCAATTTACTAGATCTAAGTTCTAATTAAAAATAGCCTTTAATATTAAATTAACATCTGCTTGATTCATCAATTCAATATTTCTAAACATTCACAATCAAATTACATCTGCTCGATTCATCATCTAATCGCAAAGAATTAAAATAATTCAATAAGAAATTATCATGCAATACCAATAATCAATAATAACAAATTATCCCTTCATATTAATTATGGATCCCCATAAACCCTATAATGAAACTACTCAGACATAATCATAACTAAACTAATCAAATAAATAAAACAAAACATAATCAAAGAAGTAAATGAAATATCTTAAATTAAAGAAGAAGAAATTGTTACCAAAGATAATCTGGATTAATGGAAGTAATTACGAACAAAACTTGAGAGAGAATTTAAGAGAGAGAAATATCCTAAGTAGTGAGAGAAAATCTAAAAAAAAGTAATCCAAAACTACGTACATAATTTGTACTTACACATTCCTCAAAACAAAAATTAAAACTAATCTAATCAGGTCTGAGAAAAACACGCGCCCGATCGGGCTAGAGGCCGCTCGATCGGGCGCGCCTTTTTCCTTACGCCTCTTCTCAGCAGCGACGCCTAATCGAGCTAGATGCTCGCACGATCGGACGCACCTTAGGCCACGCACCAGCATTGCACGCAGCTCCCGATCGTGCTAGCTTGTCCGATCGGGCCCTTGCTTCTCTTCGAGGCTTGGACTTTGATTGGGCTTGATTCCTCGGCCCAATCTGGATTTCCTCTTCGGGTCATGAATACTCGGTCTAAATACCTCGGTATCCCGATTAGCGAGCCCTTAATCACCGGCTCGATGACTCTAACCGGCCTTGGGCTTCATAGATGGTCGTGCTCTTTTAATTCCCGTAGTCGCTCCATGAAAAACCCGAGAAAATGCTCCAAAGGTGCAATTCCCTACAAAACTCAACAAAGACTACGAAAACACTAGAAAACACCAATTAGTAATAAAAGTGGCTCGAAAGAGCCAAAAAGACTACTAATTATGACCAAGGGACGGGGGTAAATTACTATATAAAATGGACATATCAAACTCCCCCAAGCCAAACCTTTGCTTGTCCCTAAGCAAAGAGCTCATCAATGAACATATAAAACATGACTCACCCCAATAATCAAATCAAGCACGAACGATTCGAGGCAAATCTAATGAACATGCTTCAACATCAATCAGTCTTATTCATCTAATCACCCTTCCTCCCCAACAATTGTCAAATAGAGCAAACCATAACAGCATAAATAAAAAGGAAAAATAGTCTAGAAAGCAAGAAATACGGGTTGCCTCCCGCAAAGCGCTGGTTTATCTAGGTCCCGTACGACCTTCTTACCACCTTGTTGCTCAGGTTGGAAGTGGAGTTAGGAGGGTTTCCTCCACATCTCTACTAGTAGCGCCCTCATGATACACTTTCAATCGTTGGCCATTTACCTTAAACTCTTTTCCCTTGTCATTGACCAACTCTACTGAACCAAATTTGTTCACCCTTGTGACAGTGAAGGGACTGGACAACCTAGACTTCAACTTTCCTGGGAAAATCATTAATCTAGAACTGAAGAGAAGAACCTTATCACCCGGTGCAAACTCTCTTGGTAAGATCCTCTTGTCATGCCACTTCTTGGTCTTCTCCTTGTAGATTCGCACATTATCATATGCCGAAAATCTAAACTCATCTAACTCATTGAGTTGGAGAAGTCTTCTCTTACCTGCGACCTTAGAATCCATGTTAAGCTCCTTGATCACCCAAAAAGCTTTGTACTCCAACTCCACGGGAAGGTGACATGCCTTACCATAAACTAATCTATAAGGCGAAGTACCAATTGGTATCTTGAATGCCGTTCGGTATACCCAAAGTCTGTCATCAAGCTTCATACTCCAATCTTTCCTTGACTTGGCTACTACCTTTTCTAGAATCGCCTTGATTTCCATTTTAGAGACCTCAACTTGACCACTAGTTTGAGGGTGGTAACTAAGCCCGGTTCTATGATATACACCATACTTCTTAAGGAGGTTATCCAATTGTCTTTCATGAAAGTGAGTACCTCCATCACTAATAATAGCCCGTGGAACACCAAACCACGAAAATATGATCTTCTGGAAGAGCTTGATGACTACCTTGGCATCGTTTGTTGGTGAAGCTATGGCCTCGACCCACTAGGACACATAATCGACGGCTACGAGTATGTAGCAATTCCCATTGGAAGATGGGAACGACCCCATATAATCAATACCCCAAACATCAAATATTTCTACTTCAAGAATCCCGATTTGGGGCATCTCATGCCTCCGCGAAAATGTTGCCAGTCCTCTGGCAAGAGTCACAAGCCTGCAAAAAAGTGTTAGCATCCTTAAACAAAGTGGGACAAAAGAAGCCTGACTCATTAATCTTAGCCACCGTTTTAGTGGGGCCATGGTGTCCTCCATAAGGTGAAGTATGACAACTGGTAAGAACGCCATGAACTTCCCATTCGGGAACACACCTGCAAAATAATCCATCTGCACACTCACGAAAGAAAAAAGGATCATCCCGAAAATAATGTTTAACATCAGAAAGGAATTTCTTTTTCTGTTGGTAGGACAAGTCAGGAGGTAGAGTACCACCCACTAAATAATTAGCAAAGTCCGCATACCAAGGGTGTTGCTCTACAACTGCATTCAGGTTGTCATTAGGGAAAGAATCATCTATAGGAAGAGAACCCTTACCCTCATCATACCTGATTCGTGACAAGTGGTCTGCCACTACGTTCTCGGCTCACTTTTTATCTTTTATTTCAATGTTGAATTCTTGGAGCAGAAGAACCCATCGGAGTAGCCTTGGCTTTGATTTCGCCTTAGCTATCAAGTACTTCAATGCTGCATGGTCAGTAAAAATAATGACTTTAGAACCAACAAGATATGATCTAAATTTTTCTAAAGCATAGATAACAACAAGAAACTCCTTTTCCGTAGTGGCATAGTTGACTTGAGCTTCACCCAAGGTTTTTCTTGCATAATAAATAGCATGCAAAACCTGTCCGAGCACGGCTCCTAGCGCAAAGTCACTTGCATCACACATGATCTCGAAAGGAAGGTTCCAATCGGGAGCACATATGATGGGTGCCGATATCAAAGCCTGCTTAATCCTGTTGAAAGCCTCAAGACACTCGTCAGTAAAAATAAGAGGAGCATCCTTGAGCAAAAGCTGAGTCAGTGGTTTAGCAATTTTAGAAAAATCTTTGATAAAACGGCGATAAAACCCCGCATGACCCAAGAAACTTCTAACTCCCTTAACATTAACTGGGGGAGGTAATTGCTCAATCACTGATATCTTAGCTTTGTCTACTTGTATGCCCTTATCAGATACAATATGACCTAGAACTACTCCCTCTATCACCATAAAGTGACATTTTCCAATTTAGAACTAAATTGCACTCTTCACATCTTTTCAAAATTTTAGCGAGATTAATTAAACATGAATCAAACGAAGAACCATACACGCTAAAATCATCCAAAAAGACTTCCATAATAGACTATATGAAGTCAGAAAAAATGCTCATCATACAACGTTGAAAGGTAGCGGGTGCATTACATAAACCAAAGGGCATTATACGATATGCAAAAGTGCCATAGCGCATGTAAAAGTAGTCTTCTCTTGATCTTCAGGGTGAATCGGAATTTGGAAAAATCCCGAATATCCATCCAAATAGAAAAAAATTTGTGATTATCTAACCTCTCAAGCATTTGATCTATAAAGGGAAGGGGGAAGTGGTCCTTTTTAGTGGCGATATTTAATCTACGATAATCAATGCACATACGACACCCTGTTACAATTCTAGTGGGAATTAATTCATTTTTTCATTTGTTATCACAGTCATCCCACCTTTTTTTGGCACTACCCGCATAGGACTAACCCATTTGGAGTCAGAAATAGGATAGTTAATACCTGCATCAAGTAATTTCATAACCTCCTTCTTGACTACTTCCTGCATGTTGGGATTTAATCTTCGTTGGGGTTGAATGCAGGGCTTATAGTTGTCCTCTAGATGTATCCTGTGCATACAAAAATCAGGGCTAATACCCTTGAGATCATCAATATTATACCCAATAGCTTTCTTATGGGTTTTGAGAACCCTTAGAATTGGGAAGTTTGTAGGTCAGTAAGTGAAGTACTGATGATCACGGGGTATAGTTCTTATTCATCAAGAAAATTATATTTTAAATGAGAAGGGAGAGGTTTTAGCTCAGGTTTCTTGACCTCAGCAGGTTTTGATTTCTGAACTAAATTTACTACCTTCATTGTTTCCTTGGGGCTTAACTCTTTTAAGGAAAGAGCCTTTTCAATATCTTGTACCTCATTACCCCAAACGCTTGCATTGTCTCTAGATAAATTCCCCCAGAGGACTTCCTCTAGGGGATCCCTCGGAAGAACCTGTGGCAAGCTATCATCACAAATATCATCCATTATATCAATTACATCAAAATAGCAACAATTCTCCTCTAGCATAGGCCCTTTCAAATCCTTCCCTAAATTAAAAGTAACATTGTCGTCACCTATAGAAAGGGTTAGTTTACCATTTTTAACATCAATAATTGCTCCTGCAGTATGGAGAAAAGGCGTACCTAATATAATGGGTATTTGTGTATCCTCTACCATGTCTAAAACAACAAAATCAACAGGAATAAAAAATTTATTAACTCTGACAGGGACGTCCTCTAAAATACCTAAGGGGTATTTTACCGAACAATCTTCCGTTTGCAAAGTTATATTAGTAACTTTTAATTCTCACATATTAAGTTTAGCACAGACAGATAATGGCATGACACTACCACTAGCACCCAAATCACACAAAGCTTTATCAATAAAAACATTCCCTAGAAAAACTACCGGGATCCTTTAATTTAGGATGGGATTTGTTTTGCAATAAAGCGCTACACTCCTCTGTGAAAGCTACAGTTTTTATTTCATTAAAGGCCCTTTTTCTAGTCAGAATGTATTTCATAAATTTAGCATAAGCAGGAACTTGAGTGATTAAATCAGTAAAAGGAACTGTTACCTGCAGGTTTTTCACAACCTCTAAATACTTACCAAATTGTTTATCAAGCTTACTCTTCAGTTGTCTATTAGGGAATGGAAGTTTGATAACCGGGCTCTGCACATCTCCTCCCTTATCCTGCGATTTACCCTGCACAGAAACATTAGTAGAGTTAGTATCTATTTGTAGCCCTGCAGGGCTAGCAGGATTAGCGTTTGGTATAGAGGAATCTAGATCAGGAACTGGTCTATCTTCATTTGGCATAGGAGGTCCATCATAATGTGAACCACTCCTTAGAGTGATTGCATTGGCATGATCTGTAGGATGGATAGGTTGTGATGGTAGAGCTCCTTGCTGACGGGATTGTAGGGCAGATGAAAGTTGTGCAATTTTATTGTCCATGATTTTATTATGGGCTAGGATAGAATCAATTTGCGCATCCCTACTCTCCATATGCTTTTTCATATTAGTAAGCATTGCTCTAATTTTTGTCGTGGCAGGGTCGAAAGATGATGAGGGTGATGCTTGGCTTTTCTGGCTGGAATTAGAATGATAATATTTTTACTGTGGTGGGGTTTGTTGTTGTGGTTGTTGTGGAGGTGGAGGGTTTTGTACATTGGTGCTCCGACATGAAAGATATGGATGGTTCTTATAACCGGCATTGTAGGAATTGGAATAAGGGTTATTCTGCCTATAGGTTTGAAAGGCATTAACTTGTTCCATAGAGCTCCTACAATCTTGCTCCCAATGACATACAATTCCACAATTTTCACAAAAAGCTTCATTGTTAGCAACAACAGAAACATTAGCTACAGAGTTAGGAGCAACAGTAAGATTATCTAATTTTTGACAAATAGACGTTAATTGAGCTTGCAAAAAGGATACGGAATCGACATTATGTTTTCCTTTATTTGCAAACCCTCTCGGATTCCCATATTGGGAATTGTGTATTGCCATGTCTTCGATAACCTGCCCTGCATCGTCCACATTTAAATTCATGAACCTCCCACTAGCTGCAGAATCTAGCACTGATCTAGAAGAATTTCCAAGTCCATTATAGAATGCTTGGATCAATTGCCATTGTGCTAGATTGTGGTGGGGGCACTCTCTCTGTAGATCTTTGAACCTCTCCCAAGTCTCATATAGCCTTTCGTCGGCCTCTTGAGCGAAGTTCTGAATTGCACTCCTTAGTACCGTTGTTCACTGTACAGGATAGTATTTATTATAGAAATTCAAATTAAAGCAAGAGTTTCCCAGTCAGTAATACCAAGTGCAGTTCTATTCAAACCATTAAACCATAATTTAGCCTTTCCACATAATGAAAAAGGAAAACGAATCTCCCTGATTTGGTCTTGCGTGACCCCGACTTGTCTAATGGTGTTACAATATTGGTAGAATTCAGCGATGTGAACATTAGGATCTCACCCTTAGCTCCACTGAATTGCTTCCTTTCTATCATAGTGATAAATTGGGGCTTGATTTCGAATTGAACTCCATCTAGTGCCGGTGTGGGAGTAAGGTGCGGGAAATCTGTGAGCTTCGGCTGCGAGTAGTCACCGAGTTTCTTCTGGGCCATCATCTCTAATTCTGAATCTGAAGGAATATATGTGTCACTAGAATCAGAGGGAGGATCTCTTCGATTGTTGTCCTCCTCAGAACCTGCCAGAATTTGTCTATAGAATTTCCTTTGCCAATGAAAAAAGCGCTTGATCTTAGGATTGAATGGGATGTAACCTGATCTTGAACACCTGGGCATAAAAAAGGAACTAAAAGACAAATATGAGAATTTCCTCAAAGAACTAACGTTCTCTGAGACAAAAGGGGATAATCTAGACTACAAAAAATAATCAGAAAACAAAAATAAAATCGTTTCCCCGGCAACGACGCCAAATTTTGACAGGGTAAAGTCGTATCCCC